TAATAGGCCAAAAGGGCAATATTCACAGAACTGAACATACAGGTGTCAAGTTCAAGGTTCACTGGCTGAACAATTTATCCCACTCCTGGACCCAAGAATGCCTTAAAGATTCAGTGGTTCGGGTAAGAACCAGAGGAAACCTACGCCCCGACTTCTTGGTAACTGCCCTGTAAAGACCCAGCTCTAAGCCAGTGTCTGGCATCTCAGACTTGACATTCTGGAGGACAGGATGTTATCCCGGCAAGGATTACTGTAAACAGCACTTCCAATGCAGGCCTTCAGACTGGCCATGGAAAAGGAGACAGGCTCGTTGGCTATCCAGACAGCAAACGAACACACAAACTAAAGGGGAAGAAAACTTGGGCAAAGTCTCCAATTATCTGCAGTGGAAGACTTAAGTCCTTTCAGATAAGAAAAGTTACGGAAATTCTTAGAGACCCTTACGTATACATACTACCTATCGGCCAAATGCACTTAATTTTAATACAGCTGAACCATTTGTATGCAAGTCATGAAGGACATGAAAAGCTGAAGCCACTGTCCACTCCCGTCATCGTACAGGTGAATGTCAGCTACCAGATGCCTTGCATTTTAAAAAGTAAACGAGGGGCTGAGGTTCTGAATTTAAGAACTGTACGTGGGTGTGTTTAACGCTCCTTGCGTGGCTGTCCAGTTTCCACTGGCTGCCTTGATTTGGGGACAAAATGGGACTCTTCTGAGAAGTTGCTCTACATTGATTTTGGCCTCAAGATTAAAGGAAAAAAAACCCCCAAACTAAAGTAAAATGAGGCATTGAAATTGAAGTTCATGTTCAAGTCCCCCATTTAAATGAGGTGTCGGCGGGGAAGAAGGCTGAGCGTTTTTTTGTTTGTTTGTTTGTTGTCCTCATAATGAGTTCTGTTTTTCTGGTAGCTAGGATCTCTTGTTACAAACACTTCTTGTTCAGGATTATATTCTTTGGGTTTATTGGAACAAGAAGTGTGGAGGATGTCAAAAGTGATCTCTGGAGAAAAAAGGAGTTGCAAGGACTTGAGAGTTTAAACCAAGAAAGGAGCTCAGAGAAGTACTTTCAGCACAGGAATGAACAGTATTCTCAAATTGCAGAATACAGAGTTGCCCTCCCTCGGAAGAGGGCTCTATGTAACAAAAACATAAAGGAAGTGTGGGTGTAGTTTAAGAGCCTTTTCTGTAGTAATTCTTCCAGGCCATAATCTCACAAATCTGATTATTTTAGACATAACAGTTTTCTATATACCCAAAAAAAAAAAAAAAACAAAAAACAAAACAAACAAACAAAAAAAAAACCCCAAACATGTAACTTTCAACCTTTATGCTTTTTTTTTTTTTTTTTTTACAAACAGGGTATGAAACTCATTGTTTCAACAGATCCATGTCTTTAGAACACTGAATGAATCATTTCGACATTCATTTTTCTTTTGTGCAATTTTCAAGAACATTACCTGTACTCCTCAAAATGAGTGCTTCAAAATTTTTCTTCTTCAGCTTCTCAAATTAGGTGTACATTAAAAAAAAAGAGAGAGAGAGAAAGAGAGTTCCCACAAGGTATAGTGCTACAAGAAAAGATCCTATCCCGTAAGGTAACATATTTGAAGCGAGGTCATCTATGTAAAAGAAATCTCAGCTCCGGAGTGGAGGTGTGCAAATTCTTTGGAATTTCCCTATCAACAGAAACACAACACTGTCCGTGGAAAAAAAGAGGAAACCAACCCAACACAATAGCATACGCACGTATGTGCTTTATAAAAAAGTATATTTTCTGTATATTTATTACTTGATGTGTTCCTAAATTCTCTATTTCAGAAATTCTGGGTTAAAAACACAAAGGTGGAAGCAAAGGCTTCCAGTCCACTTTAAAAAAGAAAGCGTAACTTCCTTTCCTTTTAGATCCCCACCAAAGGCGCTGGATTGGGCGCTGGATTGAGACGGCCGGCCCGTCTTTCACCTGGAATCATCGTGGGTGACTAGGAAACAGAAGTGCAAAGCCTTCTGGGAGAGAACAGACCAGTTTGTCGAGCTGCTTGTGGGTTCCGGAGACGGTAGCCATGACAACCAGCACAGCTCACAAAGCCTGGCCTCCCGTCCCAAGAGCTCTGCTGCTTCTCCCACATCTGAAATAGCATGGCATTAGTGTCTTCAAAAGCATTTTGAGATTTTTTTTTTTTCTCTACGAAAGAAATAGGTTTCCTTAGCAGTCACGGATGTTAAAGGGTACTGTCAATTGTTTCTTTAAAAAACAAACAAACAAAAAGAATTCCAAAGCGACAACAACAAAAATAAATTTTGGCAACACATTTCAGTAAAGATCAAAACTATGTGCAAAGAGTGAATTTTATGATTACTAGGAGCTACTGTTCCTCATGAACACGCAGCATGATATTGCAATGTATGCCATATCGAAGGGGTAATCCACACGATGCAGGAAATCTACACATTCCTCGGAGTTATGCAACCGTACTCCAGAGCAGGCGAAATGCTGCTTCTGGACACACCAGTGTGCCACACACACGCCAGCCCCGTCCCTGAGTAAGAGGTGAGAAAGGTTTCGCAGAGCTCCTTGTAGGGGAGAAGAGGGATGCTGCCACTTCCTGGTGGGGGGAGAAAAGCGCAACACACTCACCTAACCGAAAACACAGGGGGCACCATTCAGAGTCAGCGATGGGATCAACAGCCACGGGAGAAAAAAAAAAAAAAATCAAATCCTCCCACACCAGACCGGGTTGAGTGGGGGTGGGGGGGTGGGGGAGAAACAAAAAACTAACCGACATAGAAAATTATCCCCAAGTCTGAACGAAAATACAATTTGGATTTCCACTTTACAAGGTTTGAGGTAAGTGGCATCCTTCTCCGTATCCCCCAACCCCTCCCCAATGTGGCCCAAACAAACTTGAAATGATTCTTAAGTGAGACATCCTAAGGAACAGTCATTTTACATATTTAGAAATCCCTATAAAGAGAGGTTCCTGTTTGTTGGTTTTTTTTTTTTTTTTTTCTTTTCGCCCTGACTGATTTCTTGGTGATTGTGTTTCGTTGTAAACGCAAAAGGCCTGCTGTTAGTACTTTAGAAATGGAAAACAGGAGAGAAAGAAAGAACTAAAGATGGCTAACTATTGCAAAGTGGACATCGTACAGAGGCACATGGCTGATCCTCGTTAAGCTTTTCGGCAGCGGAGAGTTTCTACGCCTGTCATTGTTAGGTTTGCTACACAGGATTGGGGACCAAGGCCACCCCGGGCTCACCAATGTCTGCCAACGAGACGAGGTTCCCTGTCCTCTGGATGTTCTTCCTATTGAAGAGAAAGCTGCTGCAGAGGACCGGTGACCATTGTTTGCAGGTGGCCCCTCCATGGCCACTGGCCACATGTTCACAGCGTGCACACACACATCAGGCCACACTTCCTGCCCATGCCCAGAGGAACGGCTCAAAGCGTCAAGGACACAGACGGGGGAAGGAGGAACCTGCCCGCTCTGGAAAACACCGTGGAGATGGAATGGGTCGATCCTGGTTCTAGTTGCTCCTGGGCACACCTGAGAAACGAATCTGCCTCTGCCCTCTCCATACTGCACACTATTCCTCGTGGCCACGGGGAGATTGCAGCTCGTCCCCTAGCTCTCCTCCACTGGCTCTTTCTGCAACGTGGTGACAGACACACGGGGCTCCCAAAAGCTCCCAGCCCCAGCCCCAGCCCCAGCCCCAGCACTCCACATCCTCAGCGGGAGCTCGCTGTGGGAAGCTCTCCCCTTCCTGTTTCCTCCCCTCCAGCCCCTCTCTGGCCAGAACAGGGATGATGGGCCCAATGGGGGATGAGCGTTCCCTAGAGCACACTGGTCGGGCCTATTGGCACAGGAAGTATTGCACAGCTACAAAAGCAAGAGAATGAAATGGGACAATGTTTAGAGAGAACCCATGACTGTGTAATTCCTATACCTGAAATAGAAGCACAAAAATTAATGATGTTCCTATTGCTGCAAACCATGTATGTTTTCCCATTTTAGTGTCGGTGTTGAGGATCCAGTTAGTTCAGTACTGGAAGTTAAACTGAAAGGTGGTGTGTGTGTGTGTGTGTGTGTGTGTGTGTGTGTGTGTGTTTCTGCATCCACGTGAGTTTCTGTAAATAGTGGTACTGATGAGGACAGAGTCTCTATATGGCAGCCCCGTATTCCTCTTACCATCAAAGGTTACAGAAGGAAAAGAAAAACAAAACCTAATCATTGCAAGTGCCCTGAGCAGAATATATGGAAGATTAAGCAAGTTCTCTGAGCAGAAACGTTAAAAAAAAAAAAAATACAGCACTAAATAAGCAGTATGACCCCAAGAATGGGCTCACCCAGCTCTCTGTCAGCATGCTGAGAGGGTAATGAAATCCACAGAAAGTCAAGGACCAGTTCTAGCTGTTCTAAACCTATTCAAATGTTTTTGGTACACCCCAGAAAACGGTTTATAAATATCATTAGTTCTGGTGAGAGCTCAATATAATGGAATACTTGACAGCCAAAATGTGGGTCGACATTAGAATTTTTTTTCCAAATTTGTGAAATGCAAGAAGTACTCCTTTCAGTGGTAAAAGAAAAATCCAATTAAGTATTTGTTCAGAGAGACTGCAGCCATTCCAAGTAAGAATATTTAAAAATTTCTCCCTACTTATAAAAACTATTTTTTTAAAAAGCACTTTAAGACACATACTCAAAACCCACAAACAATATTTCAGGTCTCTGGGAATGAAAGTTTTAAACTGTGAAATATACCCTTTCTGGGTTTGTACCAAACATTAAAATCTTGATTTGATTTCTGATGGAAAAAAAAAAAAAAGTCATTCTGAAAATAACATTAATTTCAACAATAATAAAGTAATTGTTTTTTTTTTAAACTTGATCACATATATAAATGTCTTTATGGAAAACTTTCTTAATGAGTCTGAAGAAAATTCTCAGAGTTGTCCTGCTATGACTTTTTTTGTGTGTGTGTGTGTGTGTGTGTGTGTGACAGATGTGGTAGAAAGACCAAAATGAATTTTGAAAGGAACATAACCTTATAAAACGGCCTAGAGTTTAGGCAGGTTAGAAAGTAATTTTGCTACATTTATTTATGCTCGTTCAGTCCCCCAAACCTTTCCCACAATGTTATTGGATAAAAACTGCAGGAATATCACACAAATTATAAACTCAAGATGTGCAAATTGCAAGGCTCTTTAAAAGTTCATCTTAAAAAGAAAAACACTGGACAAAAATGAGTATTCTTTTTTCCATCCCTTTTCTCTCAGTTTCTCTGCCAGCTCTGCATAGGCCTTTAATTCTTTCTCAAACATCAAAGTGAAAAGTGCCTTCTGTCAGGCGGTACTCGGTGGCCATTGTCACGTACTAGTTCATAATTCACATTCATCCCTTTAAACCACATTGAAACTTCCAATATCTTGCTCGTGAGAAACTCTGCAGAGCTGAAATGTAGTTACAGTGTTGGAAAAAAAAGAAAGCAACTTAGTTTTTTTGTTTTGTTTTGTTTTTTCTTCCCAAAGAGTTTAAAGGGAGATACAGTACTTGTTGAATGATAGACCAAGATGCTTGGTAATAAAGTGTGAACAGCATTTTAAGTGCTTAGAGATAGTAATATATATGCTCATCTTCAAAATCTAATTCCTCACGTCACACTGGAATCTGAAAAAAGTGGCACCCGAGTTGTCCATAGTCATGAACTATAAACAGTACTAAAGTTAAAAGACGAGATTTGCAAACCCAATGCAAGAGCTCCCACAGCTCTCTGAAGGGCAGTTCACGCCTACCTCTTGGGAGCAAAGTCAAAGTGATAACCTGATTGGTTTTCCTAACACTGCACGGAATCCAGAGTGGGTGTCTGCCCTCTGCCACCCTGGCCGCCGCCCCACCCACCCCCACCCCCACCGTGCGGGGCGCTGGCCAGCACGAGCTGCCCAGCCCACCGGGACACCCCGGAGACATCACTGCGCTAGTAAAGCAGAAACGAAATCCCACGTGTGGCAGTTGCTCTAAAAAAATATCAGTGCAGTCAGGCCCCATAGGGGGAAATATATATCTATAGGATTAAAAGTTGCTTTTATTGTAAAATATGTTGGGGGGTTGGGGGAAGGATCTTCTGCACGGTTAGCTTCCCATCTGCTGTCTGAGTGAGGCCCCTGATCGGGCCCTGCAGAGTTCCTGTGTTGGTTTTGCCGGGAGAACCTCACCAGGACCTTCCCCCTGGACCTCCAGTCCCGTGCTGAGGGCCGGAGAGAGTGGGCCGGAGGGAGGCAGAGGGAAGGGGAACCTCCCTGGCCATGCACCTGTGTCCCCCACGTGCACGCGCCCCCACGGGAGCACACGCACGCACGCGCGTGTGCACCCCGGACAGCTCCCTGCCCCGGAGAACTTCTCTGGGAAAGCGGCGGAAGTCAGCGCCCGGTGGAGGCTTCTGTGCGGCTGGAAAAGGCAGGTGCTCGGAAGCCACATTTTGTTTCTACCGGGACGCCCCAGAGCCTGCGCGGGGAGGGAGGGGGGTGGCCTGCCCTGGCCGTCCCCCTCCACCCCCCCACCTGCCACTGTCACTGCCAGACACTCCCGGAAAAGCAAGTGCACCCATCTCCTGCGCAACACCGGCTGTAACTCTAATGACAAGGTTAGAACAGAAACCTAAAGAGGGTAACATGTAAATACTGTGTTATTTAGCCTACAGTACAGTAATCTGGATACAAATGATAAGGGAGAGCCGAATTTCCTTTCCCCACACTGCCTCTACTTGCCTACATTAGACCGGCCTTCAATGCAAATCTTAACCTCCTGAGGAATTAGAGAAGGCTTAGGAAGAGTCAAAGGTGGCTCGTCTTCTGACTTCTCCAGTTTGCGGGTCTCCGGAGCCGACCACCTCCTCTTCCTCGTTGCCATGGGCTTGCTGGGTTCTGTTTTGGTGAGCAAGGGCGCTGCGGGCAATCCTATTTTCTCCGGAAACTTGAGTTCGCCATTCTCAGACAGCATCTGGGCACTTCCCTGGTTGATGCCGTTCTCCTGCTCGGCGTACCTGTGTCTGCTGCCTGCCAGGATGTCGGTCTTTGAATGCTTCAGCAGGACGCTGGCGGGATCCACGGGTGGGCCCTTTTTAACAGAGCCGTTCTTCAGGTTCTTGAGGGTCAGCGAGATGCAGACATCCCCAACTGAGAGTTTGGAACACGGCAGATCAAAGAGCTGGCTGGTTCTCTCCGGACAACAGGATGACCAGCCCTGTCCAAACACAAAAAAAGGGTACTCTACCAAAACCTCCACGCTGACCTGTGGAAACAGTGAGAGACAGGGAAAAGGATGATGAAGACATTTTCCTCTTGTTTTAGGTCATACACACCCACACGTGCATGAGCCAGATTTGGGCGGGGGCAGGGGGCGAGAAGATTTAGCTCTTTTCCCTCATCCACCAATACAAGCCTCATCCACCAACACACACAAATGAGGCTCTTAATTATCGACCACGTACGGGTGTCAGGCGCCAGTAAAAGCCCCTTTAGTGTTCAAAATATTATTTTATTTTATTTTTTAAGATTTTATTTATTTGTCAGAGAGAGCGAGCACAGGCAGACAGAGTGGCAGGCAGAGGCAGAGGAAGCAGCAGGCTCCCCGCTGAGCAAGGAGCCTCCTTGGGTGGGACTCGATCCCAGGACGCTGGGATCATGACCTGAGCCGAAGGCAGATGCTTAACCAACTGAGCCACCCAGGTGTCCCTCAAAATATTATTTTATGAAGTATCAGCTTTCTAGCTGGCCTCCTTTAGAACAGATGGATGGGCCCCCAAGGATGCGGAGCAGGTACTTAGGGTTCAGCACTGAGCAAGTCTCTGTCAGCGACTGGAGTTCAAGATACAGTCTTGCACTTTATCTGCTCACTGGGTAAACACTATTCTCATGTATAACAGAGCTAATTAGAGTGAAATTGTATCCAGGCTCCCGTAGGCAGCGCTTACCTGTTTATCATTGTATCCCTTGCCCCGAAAAGGGCCCCTGGCACATGGTTGAAGCTTAATATTTATTGGATAATGAGTGTGTACTCAGGAACTGAGGGGAGCAGAACCACTGAAGGCTGGAGCAAAGAGGGAGAGCTTTCCTGGGACCCCGAAGGCTGGGCAGCGTGTGGAGAGGTTTGAGGAGTGGACAGTGTTGGGTAGAGGGTAAAATTTAGGACACAGAGGGCTCATGGACTTGGCCCATCCAAGGTCAAGTACCAGGTACTCGAATCAGCCTGTGCACTGGTTTGAAGACAGATATCTAAATGGGGAAAGCTCAGTATCCTCTCAAGAGTTTGCTGTTTTCTCTACCACCATGTGCCATGTGGGCACTGTGCTAAGGAAATAAACTGAAAAACCAGTCCTAGTCCCAAAGTAGTTCACAATCAAGTGGGCAAATAGGCACGTGAACATAATTGCGGATCAACGTGGTGAGTAGGGTTATAATACTTGAATACCAATATTAAGTTGCTGGAGGGCAGAGGAAAGGCATAGGCCAGTTTGAAGACGAGGTGACTAAGGAAGTCTTCCCGGGTAAGAATACACTGTGCTAAGTTTTGAAACATTGGGGGGCGGAGTATAGGAGTGGATGAAAGGAGAAGACACTCCTGGAAGTAGGGATAGGTGAGCAAAGGCAGGGAGATAGTGTCCAGTGAAAATCCTACTGTTACCATTAAACTAGGCTGAAAGGCACTTGAGGTTCTAACAGTTTAATTTTCATAGAAATTTATTTTCTTTGACTTTATGCTATATAAAAAAAGAAAAAAAAAACAATGAAGTAGGTTCAAAGAGTCAGCTTCCAATAGCTTTTCTCAGGGTGGTACACTAGATAGTCTGGAACACTCTTCTGAGGACAACTAAATACTCTGAACAAAAACCAAGCAAACAAAAACTAAGGGAAAAATGTAAAATATGATTTTTTTTTTAATGGCATTAGACAGAAAATAAGATAATGAAAAACCACCGGGTAAGGCTCAGAAAAGGGTGATGGTTGAGAGATTTAAACCCATTTTCCCCTGAGGGCATCTGCACATTCCAAATTTGAGCAGTTTCAAGACCAAGTAGACCTCTGGTAATCTCCAGGGGATGGGGGAGGGGGACAGTAGGGAATGAAATTCAGGGTCTACCCTTCTGGTGTACCAAGGCAGGCTGCTTTCTGGTGAGCACCACTCTTTTGGGCTGTGACCCCAAAGTGCTGAGTGCTGTACTCTAGGAGTAAGGTGAACCAGAAGTAGACAGGCCCTCTCAAGGTCTGAAGCTCATATTTTGATCATCTTAGCCCCTAAAATTGGGTTAAGGTCATGAATTATTTCCAGTTTTTCAAATAAAAGACACTCAATTAAAAAAGAGGGTATAGGTCCATGAACAGACCAGAGGACATGAATAAAAAACCAATAGAAACAACAGATAATAGAAACAGACCCAAAGTGCAGGGGTGGGGGTCTTCTGAAGTAGAGGCATCAGACACAGACTTTAAAATGACCTATATTTATAATATTAAAGGAGGTTAAAGACAAGCTTGAGGATTTTGGTAGAGAACTAGAATCTGTTTTCAAAAGATCATGGAAATTTTAGAATAAAGAAACATACATTTACTAAAATCAGGAGAACACAATGGATTTTCCAACAGAATAAACGTGGTTCATGACAGAACTGGTGAAGTGGATTCTTTAATTGCTGCTTTGGAAGAAACTATACAGAATAGAGACATAGAGACCAAAAAAAAATAGTTAACACAGAGGAGAGGTGAGAGACATAGAAGACACATTGAGAAGATCTAACAGACACGTAAATTGAATCATACCAAGAGGAGAAGGAGATAATGGGGCAGAATGAACATTTTTGAGGAGATAATAGCTTGGAATTTCCCAAAATTGGTATAAGACAATAATCTGCAGATTCAAGAAGGCCTAACCCCCAAGCAGGAAAAAGAAAAAGAAGTTCTCACCCCAACAGGGCACAGTTTAACTGCTACAAACCAAAGACAGGAAAAGAAAATTCCCGAAGTCTCCAGAATAAAATATACATTACCTCCAAATAGACAACAATTAAATTCATACTTGACTTCTCACTAAAAAGAATGGAACTGTTTTCGGAATCATGTGCCTTCTCACCTGTATCAAAACTCGCACTGAACAATGAGTTCTGGGTTGCAAAAGAGGATTTGTTTTTCCCACTTGTCTAAATCTTTGTCTATGAGCTAAACGAGACCAAAAGCAAGAAGTCTGTCCGTATTCAAGTGGAGATCAGAGAAGCCCAACCACAAGAAGTGTGGGCTGACTGACAGCGACAACTGTGGGTTGAACAAAAGTTCTTTGTAAAGGGGTTATTTTGAGATTGTGATTCCCACTTTGGAGGAGCTAAGGTGATCAGCAGTGGAAGGACTCCCATGTGAAATCCCTTAAATAAAAATTTACTGACTTAAAAAAATGGAACTGTTTTGTCTAGAAGACAATGGGATATCTTTAAAACACTCAAGAAAAAGACTTGCCAATCAAGTCTTTGGTCAAAAGGAGCCTTCAGGAAGGAAGACAAAATACATTTTTCAGAGAAACAGTAATTAAGAGAATTCACCACTAATAGATATGCACTAAAGAAAATACTACTGAGTATTCCTTATATAGAGAAAAAAAATAAATCTAGATGGAAGTTTGTAGATGCAGGAAGGAACAAAGAACAATGAAAATGGTAGATGTAGGTAAATCAAAAAATATTGACTATATATAATAATATTAAAAATGTTTTATTGAATTTTATAGGTAGGCACACATACACAAACACAGAAGTAATTAAAATATCATCACTCCAAACCCTAAAAAGTAGTAAATTTCCATGTGATATGCACTGTGGCTTTCTATTTTACCTACTTTATCTTTTTTGGTAACTATGATTGGTTTAGTTGTACACACACTTCTTGAAAGATATATTTTATTTGTTCCATAAAAGTATTTTTAGAGGGAACAACTAGTGTGAATATTGAAGTTTACTACTCTAGTGTGTGTGTGAACGTGAGCCCATATAAATGTGCATATTTTCAGGTGGAAATTGTTCTGGGCTATTTTAATAACATAAAGAGAGCTAAACATTTTTGAGTGTCTACCACCTGTCAAACATTTAGGTACAAACTCCCCAAAAAGTATTTTGTTTATGCTCACAGCAGACTAGTGAATAAAAACTACTAGTGTTCCAATTTTACAAATAAGGAACTACAGTCTCAGAGAGATTAAGTCACTTGCCTAACATCCTAACTATGAGCTGATGGAATAGTGATTTAATCCCAGTCTTTGGCCCCCCAAACCCATTTTCTTTCCCTTTGCTCCTATCTCTGCCCCTGTGAACAAAGATATTACAATGCCACTAAAAGAGATGAATTTAACATTTCCACTACCCCCACCAGTGAGAAATGTTAGCTGAAATAAGTAAGATCCAATGGCACAAGTTCATCGCTTTATTTCATGGTTCAGCAAATTGTGGAATAGTGTCTGCCTTGTACCTACTCATACAATTCTAATCTCCCTACATAATGGGTGAGGAGGCTGATATTTAATTACAGAACTACATTATATCACACACACATATGTATTTGCATTTTTGTATGTACGAAGATACCTACAAGTTACAGTGTCAGATGGGTATGCCCAGCCAATTCCAAGTGGGAGGACCATAAATCCTGTCTCAAACCCCTTAGAGCATTAACATCATATGCCATGCAGAAGGAACGAATCCTACTTCAAGTGGAGATTGTTTAGCTGCAATTGAAAGTCACAGAAACAGAGTTCTCAAGTGTAAAGACCTCCTAGGAATCCGTTTGCCTATCCCCACCTAACACTGGTCAGAGGTAATGTGATGTCTGTAACACTACAAACCCTATCTCTAAACACACTGGCCTCTAGTATGCTTTGCATTTTCCTACATGATCCTCTGTACTTGGGTAGAGTCTGTCTCCTTGCCTGCTAATGGTCAAGTTCTTGATGTGTGAGCCCTATTGTATGAACTCCTCTAAGTGGCCAACATTTCAAGCTCTGAATGTCACATTTACTGTATCCTTGTAGACAAATCTAACTGAAAACGTCCACACATTACCAAGTATCTGTAGATACATTTTTAAGATGAAGTATCTCCAAGGCCTTTATAAGAGGTAACATTACTGATCATTCCGAAAGCTATGATGGAGACGTATATGTTTCCCATTAGACTTATTGTAATTTTGGGGGGGGCCACTTTGAAAGCCCTTTATTACTCTTTCATCTCAACACTCCCAGGACAAGTCTTAGAATTA